TTGTTTATTTTCATAGGTTTGCGATATTTCTAGATTCCAATCGTCAGGTACTAAAATATGAAAATCTAATGCACACTTACTGTAATTGTTTATTATTTAATTTTTAAATGTTATAAACAATTTTTTTCTACTTCATTTACTATATCCATATTGTTAGTCTCCATCTTTAATACAATTTCTTTAAGAAGAGAAATATTTTATGAATAATAACTATTTATTAATATTATTTACCATTTTGTTGTTAAATTATTTATAATTATTAATTTACGACTAATTAATAACAATACGGCATTTATTGCGGCAATATTCTCAGCCAGCATTGGTCCAGTGCTGCGCCAGCGCTGTCTGGCAGCACTGACAGACAGTACTTCGGCAGCGCCGGACGGCGTTATCATCCCAGAGTTATGCCAGTGCTGGCTCTCAGCCTTGCCGCCAGTGCTGCCAGTGCTGGCGCAGTACTACGCCAGTTGTAAATTTCCCATTGGGAAAGTGTAAAATTTTGAATTGAAGAATTCACAAATTTTCCATTTTTTATTTTATAAATAAAAATAATAAATAATTCTTCTTAAAAATTAATTTTGAAATGAAAATAATTTTAATTTTTCTTCTAAATTAATTTCGAAATTGATAATATGTACATAAGTAATAGAAAAATTATTTTATTTTATCTGTACTGATGTTTATTTTTAACATTATGAAGTAAAATTTTATTATTTTCATTTTTAAGGGCATTTGAACCATTATAACGTCACAAATTGTGCAAAGCATGTTTTAAAACTGTGACGTCATAATGACTTAAATTAAATATATTCTTAAATAATTTAAAAAAATTAATTTAAAAAATGTAAATTATTTATTTATTTTCATTGTTTTTTTTTCTTAATTAATTTTAATTCTACATTAATTTAAATTTGTATGTTTTTGTATTCTCTAATCTTATTTTTCTTTTTAATTAGTATTAAAATATATTAATTTTTTATTTATTATTATTTTTTTTATAAATTAATTATTACATAAACTATTACTTAGTTTTACAAAATAAACTCTACCAATATAAAGAGATGAGTGAAAATGTTAATTTAATCATTTGTTATTTTTATTTAGTATTTGATGTATTCTTCCGAATTTCCGATCGAAAGAGATTCATAATTTGTTTTCGTTTTTTTTGTTTATCATCGTGATATAAATTTACTATATATACTATAATCTATTATGGGACGTTCCACGTCAAACGAAACAGAGCTGTAGCCAAAAATTGGCGCAATGAAAAAAATCGGTTAAGGGCTTAAAAAATTCGTACACTCGTCTACTTTCGAAAGCATGTGGGCGATCTTGAAAATCCAATATGGCGGCTTAATTATAAGCGAGCAAAGTCAACAAAATCATGAACCCACAAATAAAATCATAAATAAAAATGACAAAATCCATGAAAAAAAATTGACCGAAATTTTTTTTAATGTTTTTGGGGTCGCTTAATACAAATCTTCAAGCAGATTTTGATTAGAGTCTGAAAATTCAAAATGGCGGAACCAAAATGGTGGCCAATTTTTAAAACTCTTTAAAATAGCTCAAAACTTGTTACTCGGGGGTTTTCGGGGTCGCTGATTACGAATATGACATCAGATTTCGAAAATTCAAAATGGCGGATCCAACATGGCCGACATTTTTTTTTTAATTCACCGTATTCGCTCAAAACTTGTTACTCGGGGGTTTTCGGGGTCGCTGATTACGAATATGACCTCAGATTTCGAAAATTCAAAATGGCGGATCCAACATGGCCGACATTTTTTTTAATTCATCGTATTCGCTCAAAACTTGTTACTTGGGGGTTTTCGGGGTCGCTGATTAGGAATATGACATCAGATTTCGAAAATTCAAAATGGCGGATCCAATATGGCCGACATTTTTTTTGAAAAATTCATCGCATTCGATCAAAACTTGCTACTCGAGAGATTTTGGGGTCGCTGAATACAAAAATGAAGTTTCTTTTATGTAATTGACGTCAATTTCTTAAATAATTGTACAGTCGGCATTGGCGTTACCCGATGTACACCGCGGGGAGGTTGCACGATCGGGTTTTGTATCAAGCAATGCACTCTGCCGGGATGAGAGGAAAAAAACACTATCGTCAATAACGAAAACAATTTTTGACAGAACCAGAACAAAAAACTATCTCATATTACAATTAGTTATATACTGATGTATTTTTGCTCTAGTTCTGTCAAATATTTTTGTTTGTTATATATGATAGTATTTTTTCGATTTTCTTTAGCACGGATTTATAATTGAACTAAATAAAACGATTAAAATATTACGAAAATATTTTGAATTTTCGAAATATGATGTCATATTCGTAATCAGCGACCGCGAAAATTCTCGAGTAGCAAGTTTTGATCGAATACGATGAATTTTTTGAAAAAATGTCGGCCATATTGGATCCGCCATTTTGAATTTTCGAAATCTGATGTCATATTCCTAATCAGCGACCCCGAAAACCCCGGATTAACAAGTTTTGAGCGAATACGATGAATTAAAAAAAAATGTCGGCCATGTTGGATCCGCCATTTTGAATTTTCGAAATCTGAGGTCATATTCGTAATCAGCGACCCCGAAAACCCCCGAGTAACAAGTTTTGAGCGAATACGATGAATTAAAAAAAATGTCGGCCATGTTGGATCCGCCATTTTGAATTTTCGAAATCTGAGGTCATATTTGTAATCAGCGACCCCGAAAACCCCCGAGTAACAAGTTTTGAGCGAATACGGTAAATTAAAAAAAAAATGTCGGCCATGTTGGATCCGCCATTTTGAATTTTCGAAATCTGATGACATATTCGTAATCAGCGACCCCGAAAACACCCGAGTAAAAAGTTTTGAGCTATTTTAAAGAGTTTTAAAAATTGGCCACCATTTTGGTTCCGCCATTTTGAATTTTCAGACTCTAATCAAAATCTGCTTGAAGATTTGTATTAAGCGACCCCAAAAACGTTAAAAAAATTTCGGTCAATTTTTTTTCATGGATTTTGTCATTTTTATTTATGATATTATTTGTGGGTTCGTGATTTTGTTGACTTTCCTCGCTTATAATTAAGCCGCCATATTGGATTTTCAAGATCGCCCACATGCTTTCGAAAGTAGACGAGTGTACGAATTTTTTAAGCCCTTAAACGATTTTTTTCATTGCGCCAATTTTTGGCTACAGCTCTGTTTCGTTTGACGTGGAACGTCCCTTATATATTTATTTTTTAATTCAATTTAAAAAATGTTAATTTGCAATTTGAAAGAAAATTAAATTATTTATTAAAAAATAAACTTATTTTTATTATTTTTGTCATTATTAATAAATAAAGTTAACAAAAATTCAAGAGAAGAATATTTGTAAATATAACAGAAATAAATAAAAAAATAAAAATAAACAAAAAATAAAAATTACTATATTAATTAATAATTTTAAAACAAATAAATTTATTTTTATTTAAAGAGAAAAAAAAATGAGTAGAATAAATTTCTGTATTCAATTATAAAGTAAATGAATTATTTCACGTTATTATTTATTTTATTTATATTTATTCGGTGGTGTTTCAAGAATAGGTAAATAAATAAATTTTTATAGTTTATTATTTTAAGTTTGTTGTTGAAAAATAAAAAAAAAGAAGATTCCAATATTATAACTCGCTAATACTAAATTCGTGAATTAAATTTTAAAATGAAAAAAAAATAAAAATTATTAATACCAATCACGTATTTGCAACAAAGTTATGGACAAAAGTTTTCAATGACCTAGACATTTGCATTATCATTTGTTTAACGTTAATGTCACCTACAGTTTTCGAATTGAATTTACAATATTAACTGAAAAAATAGTGCAATTCACTCATTCATTTTAATGTTCATTTTAATATTCATTTTAATATTCATTTTAATATTCATTTCGATAAATGTAAATTATTTTTCTTCATTTTTTAAAACTCATCTTTTCTTTTTAAATACACTGAAAAAAAAATATTGTTGTTTTGAGAGGAAAATTCCTCTTTCAAAATTACTCTTAATCGAAGAGTATTTTCCTCTTATTTTAAGAGGAATATTGTTAAGTGGAGAATAATCCTCTTAAAATAAGAGGATTATTTTTGAGCCATATACAAGAGGAAAATATGCATTGAAATAAGAGGAATCCGCTTAAAACAAGAATTTTTTTTTTCGGTGTATTACCCTTATATTATAATTTATATAATTTTAAAAAATAATGTCAACAATATATTCTTTTCGATATTTATTATTTGTTCAAATTCACAACTTATTTTTATACATTACTAATATTATTATTAATAAATATTATTATTATTAATTATTAAAGGTTATTATTATTATTATTATTTTTTTTATTATTATTATTATTATTATTATTATTATTATTTATTAATATTAATGAATAGTTATTAAATTTTGTTTCTCATAAATAATGATTAATATTCACTTTATTTATTTTCTTGTTATTAATTATAATTATTTCTTTAATTATTTGTTATTCATAATTTTTTCACTTCAAATTTATTTTTATTTATCATTACTTATTTATAGAAATATTATTTGCCACACTATGAAAATACTCTCAGCGCACTCTTTATTTTTTTACAATTTTAATCTGTAAAAATTATTTTACATTAATTTTTCCATTTAAAACTTTAGTTTTTATTATTAATTTTCTCATTTTAAAAATTAACTTTTTTTTCAATTAAATTTTTTATTTAAAAATAAGTTGAAAAAGTGCATTTTGAATTTTATTTTACGTATTTCACGTGGCTTTGTATAAATTTTTCGAATGAGGAAAAAATGTCGAGTAACAAAAAAGCACCTCTTGTCTATTAGTTATTCTAATAGAAGTGTGAGAAATTGAATTTTAAATAATTACATATACCTCCAGTCAAAAAAAAAAAAATAGTAGGGGAATAGAGAAAAAAAGGGGTAGGGGATATGGGCAGGGGTAATGACGATAAATACGGATTTTATATAAAAGACTACAACTTTCAGGAAGGAGAGTCAGTTCGATTTCGGTTTATTAACTAGAACTCGTCCATAAGAAAAAAATATTCCCCCCCCCCCTCAAAAAAGGTGAAAATTTCTAACAATGGAAAATTTGGGATTTGAAAACTTTGAATATAGAGTGATTGACAAGTGTTGTTTATTATAGTGCTTTTAAAAAAATGTGTTTTTATAAAAATTGTTTTTAAACCAGAAACATTTTTTTTTACTTTTATGAAAATTATGAAGAAATTTTTTTTTATTTTTCATCTTCCTTAAAAAAAAGGAAAAAAACATACAAATAAAATAATAGAAATTTTATTTTTAATTGAAGAAAAACTTATACATATATATTTTTTTTAACATATTATTTTTATTATTATGGTATTATTATTATTATTATTATTATTATTATTATTATTATTATTATTATTATTATTATTATTACTATTTTTCTCGGTGGTATTTTTATTATTATTAGTGTTTTTAATTTTATAAGAAAAATAATATTAATTTTTATTATTATTGTATTTTTCTTATTATAGTATTTATTTCTTATTCTGCTTTATTCAAGAAAATATTTTGTTTTGACAAATCAAAGTCTGTAGAATTTGATTGTTTTATTTCTGTTTATAATATTAATAAAGCAAAATGAATGTCGAGAATTATAACATTGTTTCTGAATTAATTGAATTTTTCAAATTCGATAAGTGTTTTTTTTTCTAATAAATATTGTTTGGAAATTTTTCAACTATTTTGTTACTAAAATTTAATAAAAAAATTTCCAAAAAGAATTTTTAATTTTCGTAATCCGTCGAATAAAAAGTAATTTCATTTATTCGAATCTAGTATAAATGCTTTTAGAAAGAACATTTTTTTTTACTTTTAATACCTAGTTTAATAACTATTTTTTTGTTTTTCAAACGTCAAATTATAATTTTTGTAGTAAATATTTATTATTTTTAAGCCTTTTGATTATTAAACAAAAAAATAATAATAATGAAATAATAATAATAAAAATAATGGAAAAAATACTTAACAATAAAAATAATACTGAGAATTAAAATAATAATAGTAGAGAACCATTAATAATAATTAATAATTAAGAAACAAAAATTTAAAAGAACAATAATAAGTAATAATAGTAGCAAAGAAAGGAATAATAAAATAATTGGGAAATAATATTTAAGAAAAATAACAGTGTCAAAAAAAGTAATAATAAAATAATTAAAAAATAAAATTTTTGAAGAATTAATTTCTTAGATTAATTTTAGTTTAATGAAACTTTAATTAATTATTAACTAAATTATTAGATTTTAGTTTTATCTGCAAATGAAATTAGAAGATAGCTTCATTTTTCTATTCTTCTTTTTTTTCTATATAGTGAACAAGAAAAAAGATGTCTGCAGCGGGACCGGAAGTGGTGGTCGGAACGGTTGGTGCAACCGCTGCCACCGGACTTTCAGCAACCAGTGTATTTTTATCACTCCTCATTCCTGCCTTGGTTTTATATTATATTTATTTTCGAATTTCACGAAGACATCTCATTGAACTTGCTGAGAAAATTCCTGGACCCCCCGGTTTACCCATTTTTGGCAATGCTCTCGAATTAATTGGCAGTTCAGACGGTAAATACACGAATTTATTCAGTCACTATAAAGTCAAAATAAAAAAAAATGAAGTCAAAATAAAAAAAAAATTAAGTCAAAATAAAAAAATATTAAAGTCAAAATAAAAAATAATAATAAAACGAAAGTAAAATTAAACAAAAAAAACATTGAAGAGAGAAGGAAAATTTATTTTTTATCAATTTTACTTTTTTTGAAATAATTTATTTATAAAATTAGTCAAGATTTTATGAGCGAGGTACAAACTTAGCTGGAATATTGTAAAATTTCTGAGAAGCGGAACTTGAGAACGAGAGTAGGAAGAATGAGTGTAAGAGAGAAGTTTCGGTATTTCTCACTCGCTCTCGTTATGCCTTTTCTGGAGCTCACGTTCCCCTTCCTAAAAATTTACAATCCTCAAGCCGAACTTTTACCATTTTTTTTTCTCAATTTATTTATGAAATTCTTTCTTTTCAGCAATTTTCCGTAAATTTTATGAAAGATCCTTCGAGTTTGATCAGGTTATTAAACTCTGGATTGGACCAAAATTGGTCGTCTTTTTGATCGATCCACGTGATGTTGAAGTCATTTTGTCGAGTAATGTTTATATTGACAAATCCAGTGAATACCGATTTTTCAAGCCATGGTTGGGAAATGGTCTTCTCATCTCTTCTGGTAATGTATCAAAAAATAAAATTAATTATTCTCTTTAATTAAACTCAAAGAAAGAACAGAAATATTTTTAATTGAATTTATTTTAATAATTTTAATATTTTTAATTTTTTTATTTTAATTATTTATTTATTTAATTACTTTACTTATTTTTATTGTTACTATTTATTTTAACTATTACGTATAAAATATAAATAATTATTCAAAAATAATTATTTATAAACTATTTAAAAAATTTGTTTCCTTTTCTAAGTAAAAAGAAAAATTAAATAGGAAATTTCGGTTTCAATTTTTAAATAAAAAATATATAAAGTTGTAAAAAATCGTATTTTATTATTTTCTTTTAATATTTTTACATTCGAGGAAAAATATAGAAAAAATTAATAATTGCAAATCTAAAAAAGAAAGTAAATTGTTCCACGACGATAATTTACATCTTTGTAATTTAGTTATTAATTTAGTTATTTAATGCAAAAAAAATACATTTTTCTCTTCTGGATTAAAGTCACGACTTTGTCACATAAACTAAATGTTCGTAATAAAACGAAAGTAAAATTTATTCACTTTCAAGTGCGGGTTTCTTTATGTACTATTCTAATCTCTAATTTCTGTAATTTTTTTCAATTTCGTTAAAATATTTCTAAATCATAAAATTATTTAATCTATTTCTTTAATTTTTGAATTCAATAGTTTCCAAAACTATAATAAAACTTTGTAGCGTAATAATAAAAATTTAAAAGAAACAATAGTCATTCTTTAAAAATTGTAATTGTATTTTAATTAATGGAAAATTATGGTTAATTATTCTTTTCTTCAAATTCTTGAAATGACCCTATCTATCGTTTTGTTAAATATTCACATGTGGGGTCAGGATCTTGACTGGGTAATTTCATTAGACATTTGATTTTTTTTCTGTTTCTTTCTTTTTTTATTTCTTCTTTTTTTCTTTTTTTCTATCAACGACACTTTTTCTTTTCTCTTATTTACAAAATAAAAACACTTTTGTATTTTCAATTCGTTGTCACCGAAAGATTATTTTTTTTCTAAATTCTAATATAGAATTTTTAAATTACAAATAATATTTTTAGAAACTGTTATAACTGATTTTTTCATGTATACTCTCAATTGACAATTAATTTTTATTTTGCAAAAACATTTTTTATTAAAAAATGTTAGTCTATTTTGAAATAAATTAAATTGGTAATTAAAAATTAAATATGTAAATTACAAATGTTAATAATAGCAATACTGCTTGGAAATTTTTCATATGGCTTAAAATTCAACGAAAAAAAATTCTTGATTAACATTATAATTGAAATTAAAATTTATTCAAAAATATTACTTCCTATTCTTTTGTGTATTCAAATTTATTGATAATAAGAATTGTTTAAATTGACTAGAAGAATAATTTATGAAATAATAATACATTGTGTCGATATAAAAAATTTTTTTTAATTTTCGTCAAGTTTCTAAAAAGAAAATTGGTTTTTAATTTATTTATTAAAAAGATTAAAATTTTTTCAAGTTTCTAAAAAGAAATTTTTTTTTGAAAATTTATAATCATCGTAATTATAATTATTGGCCCCGAAAACTCCCGAGTGACAAAATTTAAGAAAATCCATTTAATTTTTTCATTTCTGTCCGCCATATTGGATCCGCCATTTTGAATTCTGAAATTCTGACTGCAGATTCGTAACCGTTGACCCTTAAATCCCCCGAATAACAAGATTAAAGCGAATCAATTTAATTTTTAATTTTCATCCGCCATATTGGATTCTCCATTTTGAATTTTTAAATTCTGACTGCAGATTCATAAGCGTTGACTCCGAAAAACCCGAGATGGCAATATTGACGCGAATCTATTTGAATTTGAATTTTTGTCCGCCATTTTGAATTTTATATCGATTAATTGTAGAATTTAATCTTTATAATGTTTATTAGTGTCAAAAATTTGAAATTAAAAGTTAATTTTTAAATTGTTAATGAAAGGTCAAAAATGGCGTGCTCATCGTAAACTGATTGCTCCCACTTTCCACTTGAATGTCCTGAAAAGTTTCATCGACCTCTTCAATGCAAATTCCCATTGCGTTGTTGAGAAAATGCGCAAGGAAGGAAACAAGGAATTCGACATTCACGATTACATGTCTGAGACAACTGTGGAAATCCTCCTGGAAACTGCAATGGGTGTCTCAAAAACCACCCAGGATAAAAGTGGATATGAATACGCCATGGCTGTCATGAAGTACGTCTCAAAGAAAAATTCCATACTCCAATTAATTTTATTAAATTAAATTTCAATTCGTTTTCCAATTAATAAAGTCTATGGATTGTCTGCAAACTTTTCATTGATCTTCATCACTCAGCAGAAAATTTGGTAGTTCAAAAGATTCAAAAGTTATTACGAAATAACTTTTTTTTTGAAACACCAAATTTTCTTGAGACAAGAATCCGGTGTAGGTACGCTGAAAGTTTGCAGACATTCTGTGGATTGTTTTATTTGGTTTAACGATTTTTATAATTGATGGTAATTATTATTTATCCTCAGGATGTGTGACATTCTTCATCTACGTCACACAAAAGTCTGGCTTCGACCTGACTGGCTCTTCAATTTGACGAAATACAGCAAGGATCAGATGCGTCTTCTTGACATCATTCATGGACTCACTAAAAAAGTCATCCAACGCAAGAAGGAGGACTACAAGAGTGGAAAGCGAGCTGTTATTAATCCAACCATTGAGAACAGGACCAACGACAAGGATACTAAGGTAAATCTTTTGGTATTTAAACCAGAAAAATTAAAATCAGTTTCAAGAATAGCTTCAACAAATAAGATGCAATTCAATATTATTTTCGAATACCGTCAGACAGTCAGTTGGTTTATAACTGAAGGTCTGCTTAATGCAACAAGACAAACTAAACAAAGTTTGTACTTCCATTTTCGAATACCGTTAGACAGTCAGTTGGTTTATAACTAAGAGTCTGCGTTATACTCCAGGATTATATCAGTTTCTTTAATAGAAAATAAAACAAAATTTCTAGAATACAATTGTTGTGGAAGGTCTCTCCTTCGGTCAAGCTGCAGGTCTCAAGGATGACTTGGATGTTGATGACAATGATGTAGGAGAAAAGAGGAGACTCGCCTTCCTTGACCTTTTGGTTGAATCCGCCCAAAAGGGAGTTGTCCTCAACGATCAAGAAGTAAAGGAACAAGTCGACACCATCATGTTTGAAGTAAGACTACAAAGAAATTTTATTAGCAATGAAACTTTTGTTAAAAATACATCATCCTCCACTAAAATTTTGTGTAAATTTAATTAGGGTCACGACACAACAGCAGCAGGTTCCAGTTTCTTCCTCTCGATGATGGGATGCCATCCAGAGATCCAAGAGAAGGTTATCCAAGAATTAGATGAAATCTTCGGTGATAGTGATAGACCTGCCACCTTCCAAGATACCCTGGAGATGAAGTATCTGGAGCGTTGCCTTATGGAGACTCTCCGAATGTACCCACCAGTACCGATCATCGCTCGTGAAGTGAAAACTGATTTAAAACTCGGTTGGTATTCCATTAAAACTACCTTCTTTAGGTTAAAACATTATTCTTCTATCGAAAGACTCTTGTCTGCAGAAAGTCTCGTAATTCAAAAACCAAAAACTGTTATTACATAGTTTTTCTATCTCTTGAAGAATCAGACTTTTTGTGGATAGGAGATCGAAAGTTTGTAGACACTCTGTGGACTTTCTCACTTGGGATACGATACAAGGTTCATGTAAAATGCTTCTGTGATGAATTACAGAGAACAGTTGCACAAGCACTTTAGGTGCTTCTGTAATCCCTAAACTTTTTAATCCACCAACATAAGAAATTCAACAGAAACTAATTTCACCTTCTTTTCAGCATCTGGAGATTACATCGTCCCAGCAGGATGCACTGTCGTGGTCGCCACCATAAAATTGCACAGACAACCAAACATCTATCCAAATCCAGATGTCTTTAATCCAGACAACTTCCTTCCAGAAAAGACTGCAAATCGTCACTATTATGCCTTCGTTCCATTCTCAGCAGGTCCTAGATCATGCGTAGGTCGTAAATACGCAATGTTGAAATTGAAAATCCTCCTGTCAACAATCTTGAGGAACTTCCGGGTCCAATCGACAGTTAAGGAATGTGACTTCAGACTGCAAGCTGACATCATTCTTAAACGTGCCGAAGGCTTTAAAGTTAAATTAGAACCCAGAAGATCAATGGCAAAGGCTCATTAGAAAAAAAGAAAGAATTACTTAAATATTATGAAGCGTCTATTATGTAGTGTGTACGTAAGAAAGAACGTAAAGCGTTTAGCGATTTATAGTCACCAATTTTTGCGATCTAAACAAAATCGGACAGCGTACACGTTTTTGTAAAATATTGTAAATTAATTTTTTTGCTTAGTTAACGTTTGATACGTATAGAATTACTTATTTCTTCTTGTATTTTTTTTTTGTTGATATTTAATTTCTGCAAATAAATTTCGTGCAGTTTAAAAACTGCAAGACGTAAATAGAATTAATGTTTCCTTTCAATATTTCCCTATGAATCTAACGCATTTTCGTCTCTAGCTATATTTAATGAAAATTACATAAAATTGTTTCTTGGTGCATGTATGCTGGATATGGATCCAAATATTCAAGGGCGCAATAAGAAGGTAAAAATTAAATTCTCTGTACTGGTCCTGTCAAAACACTGGCCATGACAAATTTACACTAATTAACAAAAGATAATATAGTGTTCTGTTTAATCAACCGCGGATAACTAAAATGTAGTTCACTTGGGACTCAATGTCAAAAAGAAAGCTTGGAAATAAGATGCCTACCACTCTTCGCAGACTAGTGGGAGTTTTCGTCAAATTATTCTGAATTAGGAAATCAGAAAAAGCACAATTAAACGAAATACCTTAAACGGATAATGATTACGCGAATTAAATTAAAACACGATTAAAGAGATGTAAAGTAGCACAAAGAAAAGGATAGTTAATTTTACGATGGAAATTTGAACGCACAAGGATAATGAAATAATTGATTACAAATAAAGAGACACAGATGAAGAAAACAAAGTATCAACATAGCATTATGACGAATCGGATATTCCAGTAGAACTAAATGATGAAATATAAATCAATAAAGGTAACAAATATGTCTATGGACGCTTCCAAGAGTATTAAACGCTTTGCGACTAAGATATATGGGTAAATCCACCGAACCGTTCGATTTCATGTTACTGGCAAATCTTTATATATTTTTAAAGTATTCTATTAATTATTTTCATATATTTTTTCTACTTTAGAAAAGATCTGAGAATCTATTGAACTAAGAACATTAAATAAATGTTAGCCTACTTGCCTTATATAAATAATAAAACAGAGTAAATTAATCTAAATCATGAAATTTGCAGTGTTACTCTAGGTACAAGTTTCTGTTCTTATGGGCATAACTTTTTTGGCATACAACGAAACAATTCTAAACGATGGTGAATTAAACTTCACTTTTTTTACAATGTATTGAAAGATAAATAAAAGATGTGCTCTTAATTATAAAGAAATTGTAATACTTGAAAATATAGCGTTACTCATTATTTTTTAATAACAAAATTTATGGAAACTTTGTATTATAACTTTCGTAACGATTGTTCAATTACAATTTTTGACAACCGCACTTATTCGTCTTAAACAGACAAATAAATCTTGGTATTGTAAAATAATGTGCCTTTAGAAGTAAAGAAAATATTACAATAACTATCACCTTAGACTTGAGCGTGAACAACTCTAAACTTAGCCTTTTTCTAGGAGCACATCTACAGATTATTATTCTTATATTCAAATGCCAAATTTTATCTCTAATTTATAATGACAAAAAATTAAGAACTACAATAAAATTGTTTATTATTAATTCATTTAGTTAATTATGAACGTATCAGTCAATGTGAACAATTGAATAACTTTTCATCTGTTATTTTTTATTTTTACTTTCGTCAAAATTAAGATAATTTAACTAACAGAATTAGAAAATAGATTCTGAAATGATGTTATTAATAAATTATTATATTAATCATAAATATATTTTAATATTAATTTCTTACACAAATAAATAATTATAATGAATAATAAACACGAATAATAAAATTATTCATGTTTTGCACATATTAATATAGAAAACAAAAGAAGAAAGAAATACACATTTTTAATTGTATTTTTTGAAAAAACTCATATCTTCGTTTTTTCTTTTTATTTCGCATGGCATTAAATTAAAATGAATCACGAAAGTAGATAATTGTTCCAAAATAAATTTTGAAAAAAATTAACCGTAAATGAGATGTGTGCTTTCAATTTAAGAATTTTCATTTTTATAAGTGAATGTCGACCAACGCCGTGGATTTGTCCACATGAACGCCAAATAGTTGAATTAAAAAAATTATACGGTTAAATTGAAAACATCATGTGAGTTGTAGAACTACTATCGTAATGTAATAGAGGGAACTAATTTTTTATTAAAGTCAAACCTTTTTTGTGTAATACAGTTTACAATTTTTATGTAGTTAATTTGACTACAATATTGGAGTAGTAAACATAAATGAAAAATGTTATTAAAGCCTATCGAATCACTTTAAGTAGCAAACTCTACTACACAATGTATTAGTTTTAGTGAGAAAATAATCGATAATTTAAACTTTTTAAACTTAAGTTTGACTACATTGAGTAGTAAATTGTACTGCTTAACCCTTAGATGCACACGTTTTTCTATTCATTCAAATTTGACAAAACTCGGTACTCGGGGGTTTTTGGGGTCGCTGATTACGAATCTGAGGTCATTTTGTACAAATTCAAAATGGCGGATCCAATATGGCGGATTTAAAAAATAAAAAGTTGTTCAATTGGACTGAAACTCGGTACTCGGAGGTTTTTGAGGTAGCTGATTACGAATTTGACATCATTTTGAAAAAATTCAAAATGGCGGATATAAGAAAAGAAAGTCGTTCAATTAGATTGAAACTCGGTACTCGGAGGTTTTTTGGGTCGCAGATTACGATTCTGAGGTAATTTTGAAACAAATTGAAATGGAGGATGTTTTTACTCGTTCTTAGCGTTACCCGGTACTAACGGCGATGAATAAGATGTAGAGGAAGGAGAAGATAAAAAAGTTTTAGACAATGGTATTTTGGGTGGAAATGGTTTGCTAAGGCGAGATGTTCCTTTCACGAAAGATTTTGGACCAAACATTCCCACAAATGTTAAAACGCCTTTGGAATTTTTTCCCCTTTTCAGCAGCCTTATAATAATATATTGTGCAACATGTACAGAAAGAAGCTGTTTTCCGGAGTGTGCAAAGTTTGCTGCTCAGAGCGAAGCGATGGCAGGGGGTCGATTCTGTAACTATCCCACTCCCACCTTCCACTCTCACTTCCCACCTTTCACTTCCGCTTTCCACTCTCACTTCCTACTCCCACTTTCTACTTTCCACCCTCACTTCCCACCTTCCACTCTCACTTCCCACCTTCCACTTCCCCCACCCACTTCTATTTCCCACTTTTACTTCCCACCTTCCACTTTCATATCCTACATTTTACTCCTACCTTCCACTTCCTACTCCTACTTCTCACATTCTGTAACTTTCCCACTCTCACTTCCCACACCCACTTTAACTTCCCACGTTCCACTTTCAACTCTCACTTACTACATTCCACTTTCACTTCCTACTTCCACTCTCACATACCAGTCCCACTTTTAAATGAAAATACCTGATTAACGCTTAAGAGTGCAAGGTGGAAAGTGAGAGAAGTAAGTGTAAGTGTAAAGAAGGTGTGAAAAATGGAAGATAGAGCGTAAAAGTGAAAAGAAGATGTAAAAAAGAGAAGTTATAAGGTGAAAGTGGAATATAATAAGTGAGAGTGGAAAGTGAAAAAATACATAATGAGGGAAGTACGAGTAGGAAGTAGAAGGTAGAAGTAGAAAGTGGGTGTGAAAAGTGAAAGGTGGGAAGTAAAAATGGACAATAGAAGTGAGAAGTGGGAGTGTGAAGTGAGCGTTGGAAGTGAGAGTGGAAAGTGAGAAGTAGGAGTGGGTAGTGAGAGTGGAAAGTGGAAGTGGGAAGTGAGAGTGAAAAGTGGAAGATGGGAAGTGGGTGTGGGAAATGAGAGTGGAAGGTGAGAATTGGGAGTGGGAAATAGAAGGTGGGAAGTGAAAAGTGGGAGTAGGAAAGTTACTGAATCGCCACCCAGCAATTTGCACTCGTCGGAAAATCTGCACACAGTACTTTGTGCAATAAATATATAGTTTTATGTTGATTATAGTGCATACTATACTGTTTACAGAAAAGTGTGAGGGAAATTACACTTTCCTGCACAGTGTACGGAAAAGAACAAACGAATTTATATGCAAGGCAAACGAAAAGTAAACAAGAAGAAGTCACGAAAGATGAGATTCTTATAAAAGTAAAGTATGATTTCATTGTATACCCTTTGGGGTCTTTACAATCTCCTCAACATCACTACTAAACACTTTCTAACTCACAAACTCTTCCCTAGTAGAAATTTGTCCTAGTTATTATAAAGGTACTGTCCAGTCGCGCTTGAAATTGTCTAGTTACTTTACAAGCCAACTGGCTAATAACTGGAATGGAGTGTCACGCTGTTTTCATCAAGTTATTATCTAGCCCAACTTTATAAATTCTGGTCAAGGGTTCTGTAGAAAAACTAGACAAATTAATTCTTTTAAAATACTGAAAATTTGTTTAATATTAAGATTTACTGTAGTTAACACATTTATTTCATGCAATTAATATAAAATTTCTATTTAGCACCAAAGAAATTCAATAAAAAATATTTTTGGAAAATTTATGTATCCATTATAATATATACATAATAAATGGAATAGAATAAAAAATTATATAATATTTTATAATTTTTAATTAATTAGTTGAATTATTATATAAAAATAATACAAATAGTAAATTATTACATGTAATTTTCTACATTACTTTTTGATTTTTAATTCAATTAAAAAAAAATTCTAAATTCGAATATCCTAAATATGTATTTACTGTTTTCAAACAACTTTTATTTTTTTAATGCACTATTATTAACAATAACACTGAGACAGATATTTTTTATTAGTATAAACAATTGTAATCTGAGTCAAAATACGTGAAGTGTACCCGAAATTCTCAATTTGCCTATATATATTTAACAATGATTGGAATTGACACATAATTATATGTTATTTAACAGGTTTAAACGATTTTAAAAAAAAATTAAATTTCTTTTAATTATAAACAATTGAAGTTTTTTACAGTCTTTAATTAAAAAATTCATATCTCGGGTTAGAATCAACGAATCTTAATGAAATTTTATACACAAACTTATGAAATATTGTAGTTTAAATATAAATTATCAAAATGAAAAATTATTGAAATTTAGTAATTGTTATTGTAAAATTAATTGTTTAAATAAAAAAAACAATGTTCTCAACATTTTATAAAGTTCTCGTAAAATCTATTCGAAATGATATTTGATATGCTTTTAGTAACCGTTTTGAAAACCTATGAGTCGAAATTAGCAAAAAAGTTACAAATTTTTTTCTATCGCGCGGTACGTCTCTTAGGCGTTCTCCCGCTATAGGACTACGTCTTACCGGTCGACGTTTATGTCATCTTTAAGATTATTTGTGTACTTTTTTGTTTTGTTTATTACACATAAATTAATTATTAAAACGTAAATTAGGTTAAGTAATTTATTTAATTAAATTTAAATAATTAATTCAATTAATTAAATATATCTTGTGATTCGTTGAAAATTAACGAAAAGTATATAAGCTAAAAATAAATAATAATTTCGTTCAAGAATAAAGTTTATTAAAATTTAGTAAAAATAAGATAATATATCTTCTTCACTACAATCTATTTTACAATGATGTGTTCTTCAGGAAGTGTATCAGCAGAAAAAAATTTACAATAAAGACTTTTTTCATCTTTAACATAAAAACAATGATATTGGCGAGTTTGTTTTATCGTCACAGCCTTTTGAAACCTATTTTTTAAAAAATTTTCTTCATCTTCGTGGTCTTTCTTGATGCAAAAATCGAAATCAATTTTTTTGAAAAATGCTTTTGCCTAATCGAATAGAATTTTTGGGTTTGTGATTTGATCACCGTGTGGTCTTTGCAAGCTGGTCTTGTGTGCAGTTCTTTTTACGGTACCCCCAATACCGTCGCATGCACCCTTACCGTGGGATGTTGCGAAAAAATGCCATTCTGCGATAATATTAAAATCTTCTTCGTGAAATAGTAAATTAACAAAATTACTTTTGTTTTTATATCCGAAAAGTAAATAATTTTTTTTACCGAATCCTCCCCATGCTTTTCTCGCAAATAAGTTATTAATCTCTTGTTAAAAAGATGTACAGCTGTTGCATTATGTTTCTCATTTTCTGAAATGATTACGAAGCTGTGATTGCGAAGAATGTTATTTGTCTTGTAGTATACTACATATGGATGCAATGTTACTTGGGTACTTGCCCAATGATATGCTTAAATAGCATCTTGTACACAGAAGGTGTAATTTTCCGCAAAATCCAGTGACACTAAACATTCTCCATCACTTAACTCGTGCTTTAAGTTCGAAAAATAAGCACTTTGCGACTTTGCAATGAAATCAAGCTTTAATAAAATTGTCAAATCTTCTTTTAGTTTTCGTAAAAATTCTTCTATGCAATCATTCTGCTGTTGAATCTCACATCTAAAGAACATCAAGTAACATTAAAAAAAATAATTTTAAACATTTCACGATTTAAACATTATTATGTTTTAAGACGATAATATGGTTGTAGGTCATTCCTTGACCTAAATCTGAATAAATAAAAATATGACAATTTTTGTTGTTGTTAGAAAGTAAATACACTGAGAAAACATTATACTTAATTCAAATAGAAAAATAATTTTAAGTGATTTTGTTTAATTGAAATTATTTAATAAAACATTGAATTTAACGATTTATTAAATATTTAAAACAACCGTGTGATGAAATCATATAATATTTTAATTGAAATTAGTTTGTAAGCTTAATCCCAATATATAAAAAATATCTACTGCTTTGATGCGAAAGTATTATTCGTTTAAATAATTATATTTAGTTCAAACATATTTTTTGTTTTGGTTTAAACAAAAAATATGTTTAAAAATTTTATGTTTGATTCAAACTTAAAAGTCGATTATGAATAGTTTAAAATCAACCATAATTTGTGTTTGAATTAAATACATTATTCTTTTAAAGGGACCAAAAAATATGTTTGAATTAAACTTAAATATGTTTGACTGTATAGCAAAGATATTTTAAGTTTGATTTAAACAAAATTTGTTTGGATCAAATAAATCGTTTTCTCAGTGTATTTTATCTTTTTTCAGCTTGAAAAATACATTATTTTGACTGTAAATGAAACATCTAACAGAAATATATCAAAAATTATTAGATAGATACTTAAAAATAAAATTTTTTTGGAAACTTCATTTCTGATTACGAATTTACCTGTCGGTGATGATCCATTCATTATATTTGATTTCGGATATCGAATAATCCGAAAATAATTGGTGTAGCTTCCCGCAAAATACTTTTGAACCGGGGCATTTATGACAGGTCAATAAATAACAAGATGAGGAAGATTCTTCACAAGTAATTTCATTTAATGCATCCTTGTATGAAGTCATGAAATCGTATTGGTGCTTTTTAAATTCAGATTTCAGACCTTGAAATTTCAACTTCACATTTTGGTGAATCTTGCAGACACACACATTATGACAACCATTTTTGTTCGCCAAAATACACTGTTTAGGTCTCAATTTTGTAAACATTGACAAACTAATTTTGTCATTTGGATATTTAGTTATGAAACTGGAATGGAGGTCTTTTAAATCGTGCAGTAATAATTGTTTTTGTACGTTTATACGCCCTGTTTCTGTTGGTATTGAAATACAGTCTTTTTTCCCGGCATTATTCGGCTAGCTTCTTCTGACAAATAAAAACATGTTGCTTTTTCCACGATTTCAGGATTCATTTTATTTCCTTTTCTCTTCTTCGGGCGAGATTTGTATTCATCTGTTTTACGCAATTTTTTCGCTCGAGATATGCCATACGACGGGAAACATTAAAATATGTACGCATTTGACGAATACTTAACTCTGCACTCTAAATCTGAATCAGTGAAAATTTCACTGATTTCAATTCAGTGGCCCAGTTTTCTTTAATTCATCAGTGGTATTTCACTGAGAATCAGTAAAAACCACTGATTGTCAGTGAAATTCCACTGATTCATCAAAGAAAACTGGGCCACTGAATTGAAATCAGTGAAATTTTCACTGATTCAGATTTAGAGTGTGTCGGAAGAGTTGTTAGTATTTCTATCTTTTCTCCATAATTTGTAGCTCTCAATAATGCATCATTAACATCAGAAATTAATTGTTCGTTAATTATCGTTGCGTTGGTATTTTTCGTATTCTCCGCCGAGACATCAGTCACTATTGCTTCATTAATGGTGTTTTCAAAGGATTTTCTCTGACGTTTTGCGAAATAATTAAATTTCAATAATTATTTTATAAGATAATCTGTCATTAAATATATAATAAAAAATTGAAATAAAATTAATAGTAAATAAAATGTAATAAATTTTATAAAAAAATCAATCAAAATGTGTATTTAATTTCATATTATATTATTGTTACCTGATTCTTCTTCCCAGTAAAAAAAAACTAATTCAAATGAATTGAAACGAATTAACATTTTTGGTAGGCTCCAATTCGTATTTGTCACAAAGCGGGATTCACTCAAGCTCTTTGTATATTCAATTGAATTTAATTTAATATGTACCAATTTGTCCAAACGAATTCGCATTCGAAAGAAATGGCCAAGGAATGCATTGAATTCGTGCTAACGAATTGAAAAAAATTAAAGGCTCAAAACTTGTCCAGTGAATTGGTACGGATAGAAGGTTCGGAAGTTCAATACAGTTTCACGAATTCAGGAAAATTGCATCATGGCTCCAATTCGTATTTGTCACAAAGCGGGATTCACGAAAGCTCTTTGTGAATTCTTTTTAATTCATTTCAATTAGTTTTCGTTTACTGGGTTCTGTGATGTACAATTCATTTTGAACTTCACTATTTTCTGATTCTATATTAGAAAAGTTTCTTTAATTTCTAGACCTTTCTTACTAATATAAATTTTGCAGGTGTCGCAAACATATTGTCCAATCAAGGAACTAAACACAGTCTTCCAATCCTTTGTAACACATTTTACATTTTTTTGAATTGATTTGTGCTTCACTTTTAAGAGAAGATTACAGCACCGTGGCACGGGTGACATTTTAATTAAAAAACAAATATTTCGTAAATAAACAAGATCAAAAAAATTAACTTACTTATAAAGCACTTTTAAATTATATCTATAACACTGTTTTTTAATTTTAAACGAACAGAAGCCGTTAAGTGACGTAACACGTTTTATAAAAAACAATTTTAAAGTTTTCAGATATTTGTAAATATTTTTTAAAAATTTATTTCTAGAATTCAAGTTTGTTTTTTTTCTAAAATTATTAGTAATGTGCTGGAAAAATATTTGGTAATTTCGCAGAAGAAGGACTTTTCCTAATTTTAGAGATAAATGGTTAATTCTTTTTGGAAAAGCTTTCACTTAGCTAAAAAATGTGAATGTGAAGGACATTTTTTTAGGAATACGAAATTTTTATTAGATTTTTACATCGTTTATTGATAATTATAAGTGTTGTTAGAGATATTATAAAACTTTTAAAACAGTTTATAACATTTATGATAAACAAACATTTTTTATTACTGTTTCATGTTTTATTTGTAACAAATAATTAAAAATTTACTGATCAACATCTTCCCAGAAGTCACATTTATTAACTGGATTCATGAACTGCCCTTCTTCGCATTGAAATGTTTCCGCAAATTCCCTCATATTCTGTAGGGTACCAATGACTCTTTTATCAGATGGTGAATGTTCCGCATCTACATTTAAGGTGTTACGCACTTCGCAGTATCGCTACAAAAATATTTTAAATCATTTTCGTAAGTAAATTTATATTTTAAATTAATTTTACATTTAAAAAAAATTATTCACATTTGCGAAAGATATAAAAAACAATTTGTTTGCATCGAAATCATAGATATTTCCTAATCTTTCATCTGCTAGAATTGGATAAAGATCTATGTATCGTCTCATTGCTTTAAATGCTAATTTTAATCCTTGTGTATCAGCAACATTTTCCTTTAAGGTACCTCGTCCATCAACCTATGTAGAAATATATTATATTATATAAAACTTTTTTGACACAAATAAATAAAATTTAAAATATTGAAAATATAAATATAACTGTGGGTATAATACATCAAGATCGTTGAACTGATTAGCCACGCAATCCATTTTTCTATTAAATATTTCTGACAAGTCTTCTTGATTAAAAATTTCATCTGTAACAATTAAAAATTAATCTGTTACGTATAATTAAAATAAATAATAAAGAAAGAAAAATTATTTATGTACTCACATCCGTGTCTTGCTTGAAAGTTTGGATAATCAAATGCATGAGAAATTTCATGACCTATTATAAATCCTAATCTCCCAAAGTTATATGCTCTATTGAAATTGTACATTAGATATAAATCATATAATACCTTTATAATATATTTAAAATTATTATTTTGTTTATCTTTTTGGACATATCAACTTACATTGGTGCGTCCATATAGAACGCTGGTGGAAACAGGAAAGCTGTCGTTAGCGCTAACATAACAAAAGAATTTAAGAAATAATACTTTTTGTTGTCGATAAATTTTTCTAGGCAAGTTTAACAAATGTATAACTTACTAATAATGTTTCTAGAGGACGTATAAAATGCATTCAAATCAATTTCCCTCTTTTTCCTTTCATTAAGGCTAAAAATATATTTGTTGGTTATCATTTAAAAATCGGACTCTTTAATTATTGTCATATTGTAATTTTTCGAAATTCATCATTAGATTTATAATAATAAGTACAAATATATAATAATAATACAGCTCAAAATAAAATTAGTATTTGTAGATTAGTAAATCTGTCAGGATTTTTTAGTAAATGTAAAAATTTAAAGAAATCGTTTGCTGCTGAAAATACCTTTGCTGCTGCATATGAATTAAAGACAATTCAAATTTATATGCCGTTTGTGCCTTTCTATAATTGATCCAATTTAACAAACCAACAGGAGTAACATTAAACTGTAAAATTAATGGATGTTTGAATTAAATTTCAGTGATTATGTGTTACTATTATTATTATTACTACACATGTGAAAGTTATTACATCGTAAGAAGTTGAATCCATTTCTTTTCGAGTATAGGGAAAATTCATTTTGCTAATCCTAAGTTTAATTGCTTTTGTCACATTAATCGCTCTCGCTTTCGAAACATCATCCAGCCAACTGTTTTGAATTTCGTTTACTAATTCATGTTTTGACATATCAATCATTGTATTCAACTAAAGCAGAAATATGAAAACAAATATTTTTTTAAAAACTATTAAATCTGATTTTAAGGCGCATAAACCTGCCATAGGTTATATCTCCCCTTGAGTTAGTCCCTTCGATTTAATTTTTAGAGATTCTCATTTTGTATTGAGTAATTTATAAAGTAGAAAAATTTTGAGACCCTTTTTTACTTATATATCGCAAACTATATTGTTTTACATACAAAATTACAATTGTAAGAGATAAAACTTTTTCGTAACTTACGAACTCTTCTCTACGGTAAAAATCATCACTATCTGCTAAAAGTTCATAAAATCCATCTGTTATAGGAATAGTGCTGATACAACGATGAGATCTATTATTAAAAGCATTTTCCTTTGAATATCATATTAGTAAAATGTGTGATTAAAAAGCGAAGAAAATTTTTTAGCAAAAATTAATATTTATTTAAAGAGAATCAAAACAAAATTTTTAATAAAAACTTATTTAATCACATACCTTTCAAGTAATGCTGCGTCGTTCAATGAAGGTGTAACGTAAAATAACGTTTCGAAAGATGTTTCAAAATTAAACTGCAAATATCGCACTGTAAAGTAAATTATCAGTTCTAAATAAATCCATCCAACATTTATTAATTTAAAAGTAAATTAAACGTTAGTTCTTTTTATAATTTATAATTACCGATTACGTTGTTTGGAGTGACACTTAAAATTTGACACAAATTACTTAAATATATCCAATCAATTTTTATCTCGTAGAAATCTGTGAAAGGTATTTTGCCACCCTCAGAAAGTTTTAAAAAAAAATGAAGCCAATTAATCTGAAAAATTTTAATAAATTCTCATGATATTCTCAATACTATTCTCAGGCATGTTTTTGCGTCATTCATAATTTTCGAAAAATAGAATTACAAATAATTTATATAAGATTAAACAAAAATTTAATTAAATTAAGCAAAAAGTACCTCTGATACAGAATTTAATAAAGGGCAATCGGTGATATAAATTTCTCGTAATTCTCGAATAGTAACTGGTAGAAATGAAGCTACTCGACCATAAACCAACTAGAAAGTTAAATTTGCAAATTATTTTGTCCACTACAAAGTATAATTTAGTAGTTTTTTACATTTTTTTTTTACATTCTTTAGTAGTTTTTGAATAAAATTAACCATAATATTACCTTGTTTATAGACCTTAGAAATTGGATAAATTGACTTTGAAAATTGGCATCTGATTCACGATACTGATTATACCACATTCTATCAGGAGGGTTGCTTAAATAAATATTTATTGCATTTAAATTTAATTTTTCGAATGGTAATAAGTTTGCTTTTGTGTATCCTGGTCTCATAATCTAGATAAAATTGTAATAATTAAATTAACAATATTTTACTAGAGACAAATACAAAACACTGGTATAGAATCATGTTTGCGAATATTAATTGTATAATTTGCATTGAAATTTTCTTTAAATCATGGAAGTAAACATAAAAATGTTGCTATGTAATAGAATTCGCAACTTAACTATTATTACTATTTAAATCTTACTTCTAGTTCGTTGTTGTGGTTTAGTGACACATGAAAAAGTGAAATTTCACCAATTTTAGTAGCATAATATGCAGCCACATTTTGCCACAATGGCCCTGCAAGCATGCTTTCAATTACTATAATTTTGTATAAGCTCCTTCCTTCTTCAATTGAATGGTCTGTGAATATTTTTAAAATACGGGATAAATAAAAATAATAATGTATTTAGGCATATAAGTTTTAATAAAATATCCGTTTCACTGAATGGGCGATTCTCCAAAAAACCGCATTTTGCATGTAGTCAAGATTTTCTAAATAATTATAATCATTTGGAAAAATGCCAAGTCATATTTCACTATTTTATGACTTTTTCTAAATGTTCTGCAAGAAAAAGTTGTAAAATTTTATTGTTTAATGCATTTTTAAAATATTTTACCACCTTAAAATCGATTTTCTAACCTGTCATCTAAGTGCTTTTCATTCTTTCAATACGTAACACAATTATTTAAAACATGAAAATTGGTACTTTATCAATTCTTTCTAAAAGTTATGATATTTAAGAACAATTTTCTAAAATATGAATAAAATATGTCGTGTAGTTTTTTTAAATATAGAAAATGAAATTTGTCATGTAGTACCGCGTCATTTCTCTCACTCGTTGAATATTATCCAATATTTTTGCTGTGCGTAGAGATATTGATTAATTATTCTATTGTGATTAATATATTTAAATTAACATTTCTAAAATTAATTTCTTAAGTTACTTTTTATAAAAAATGTTATTATTTTGCGTTAAAAAAAATTAAAATTGAGACATAAGCAGAGATTCACAACATAAAGCGTCATTTCTCTCACCCCTATAATAAAAACAATATTAATATATATAAATTGATCGCAATTTTTTTTCACATAAAGTTATCATTTATGAACAAGATAGGGCATATATTATAAGCTGAAGGAAAATTATTTGTCAATTAAATAAAATTAAAAAATGTTTAAATCGTCATTCCTCTCACCCGTCATTCCTCTCACTTTTTTAAATAAAAATTAAAAATTGATATGATTGATATCATATTGATATGATTGTCGGTTGTTTACAAACTGTCAGTGAAAAGTGAACCTAAAATGTATGAAAAATAATTTTTGACAATTGTTAAAAGAGATTTTTGACAACGATAAGTATTTCAAAATCTATAAAATTTATAGATAATATTGATAAATTATAATTATTACATAATTTTTTGTAAATAGAAAAATATTGTGCTATATATAATAAAATACGCCGGCGCCAAATTTTAACCTCTTAATTTTTTTATAAATTTTAATTTAAAATATATATACTTTAAAAGCTAAAAGTTAGCATGATCATGCTATATAAAGGTGGTAAATATTTGAAAGCTCAATATAATTAACTGCATTAATCCATAAATAATAATTTTTTTTCTTGTTTGTTTGTGACTCACAAAAAGGAGTATTTCGGGAGAATCACCCGAATATTTCATAATTACCCGGATCCATGCAAGCATTGTAGAATCGCTGTTCATCGAGTAAATGTGAGTGACTTGCGGCATTTGAACTTTCCAATATATCTGTAAATAAAAACATTAAACATTTCATAAAAAATAAATTAAAATATTTAGAAAAACATGATTATGCATTGAAAAATTTAATATATCAGAAACTTTATACAATTTATTTCTCGATAAGAAGAAAATTTTTATACTTTTATAACGTGATTACGTTATATATATTTACGATACGGTATTTAAATGATACTTTTAATTTTCCTAATTATGACATCTTTGGTTATTTGATCAGCATTCCAGAAGTAATAATAATCAGGTTTTCGATACACTTGTGTCCAATTGCCACAAACATAGTTATAAAAATTTTCACAAGGATTTTGACTATAGTCCATTCCGGCAACTAACATTCCGGCTATAAATAAATTATTTATTAGTAAAGGGAAAAGATATTTTTCGATATAGACTTACATATATCGTCTATGCTAACGTCGAAACTGTAAACGTCTGCTAAAGCAGATCTAGAAATAAATAAATTTAAGATAATTATTATTTAACGTAAAATTAAATTTATATACATTTCATTTAGCATAAATGCCATTTAACATAATTCTCATTTGACATAAAATTTACTTGACATAAATTTCATTTGGTATAAATCCCATTTAACATAATTTTCATTTGATATAAAGTTTATTTGACATAAAAGACATTTACACAATTCTCATTTGTCATAAAAGTCATTCAACAAAATTCTCATTTGACATAAAAATCATTTTACACAAATTACATTTTACATGAAAATATCGGCGCCAATTTTAAAAGTAACCAATTAGATATTATCAACAACATTGTGATTCGCCAATTTTGAAATTCGCGCCTATATTTCTATGTCAAATGATTATGATTATGATGATTATGATTATGATGATTATGATTATGTAAAATGAAATCTATGACATCTGAATTTTATGTCAAATGAGAATTATGTGTAATGACTTATCCGTCAAATGAAATTGATATCAAGTGAACTTTATGTCAAATGAAAATTATGTTAAATGGGATTTATACCAAATGAAATTTATTGTCAAGTATATTTTATGTCAAATGAGAATTATGTTAAATGGCATTTATGCTAAATGAAATTTATATAAATTTATTTTTACGTTAAATAATAATTATGTTAAATGATATTCACGTCAAATGAAATTTATGTCAAGCTAATTTTATGTCTAATGATATTTATGTCAAATGAGAATTACGTTAAATGACATTTATGTCAAATGAAATTGATGTCAAATGAATTTTAAAACAAATAAAATTTACGTTAAATGAGTTTTATGTCAAAAGAAATTTATGTTAAATGATTTTTATGTCAATAGAAATTTATGTTACGTAATTTTTATGTCAAATGGGAATTAAGTTATCTGAGTTTTATGTAACATAATATTTCTGTTTAATGAATTCTATGACAAATGATATTTATGTCAAATGGTTTTTGTGTGCAATTAAATTTATGTCAAATAATGTGCTTGTGCATATTATGTGAATTTTAAGTTAATTAGTTTTATATCAAATAACTATTTGGTTAAAAAAGATTTCGGGAATAAGCATGCGTCTCCTGAACACGATCCCGACTTCCAAAATTTTATTGAATATCACGTCAGGATTTTGAGAAAAGTGTGGGGGTAAAGACCCCAAAAACGCTTTTTTGAGGGTTTTCAACACTTTTTTCTCTTTAACCTGACGTGTTGATTTTCACAAGGTCTTAAATTAAACCCATATTCAAAAAATAATCATCTTTTAAATGGAGTTGAAGACATTAAAAATGTGTGTTTTTGGATTGCTTTAATAGAATTCTTGCAATTGCTTGGATTCCCTTGAAAATGGTTACTCGGGGTTATTGGGGTTGCTGATTATGTATCCGATATTAGTTTTCAAAAATTTAAAATGGCGGAATCATGATGGCAGATGTAAAAATTAAGAATTGATTGGATTCGCTTGAAAATTGTTACTCCAGGGTTTTTGGGGTCGCTGATTATGAATCTGCAATTTTGAATTTTTGAAAACTAATATCGGATTCGTAATCAGCAACCCCAAACACCCCGAGTAACCATTTTCAATTGAATCCAAGCAATTGCAAAAAGTCTATTAAAGCAATCCAAAAACACAAATTTTTGGTGTCTTCAACCCCACTTTTTGAAAAAAAAGTTTTAATTTTATTTTATTTTATGGATATGGGTCTTGTAGTGGACATTGCAGGCTTTAATTTAAGAGCTTATTGTTGATTTTTCTAAAGGCCTAAGCACAATAGGTTCGCGAACGCAAAGCATGAGTTAGAAAAGGACAGAGATATATTTGTGTCCTTGTCTATCTCATGTGTCTCGTTCGCGAACGACTTTCGCGAACCTATTGTGCGTTGGACTTAACACGTCAAGTTAAACAGAAAGAAAATGTTGAAAACCCTCAAAAAAGCGTTTTTTGGGGGTCATTACCCCCACTTTTCTCAAAATCCTGACGTGATGGGCAATCTTGGAAGTCGGGATCCCCAATCAGCACATAAGCTTGCCACAAACTTGCATTAAGCTTGCTGTGCAAGGTGTGCAAGCTTACAAAGCAAGCTCGTGACAAGTTTGTGGCAAGTAACAAAATGTCCTATTGATGCAAGCTTGCACTGCAATCTTGCTACAAGATTATGATATAAGCTTGCTGCAAGCTTGTGAGGCAAGTTTTCGACAAGCTAATTTGGCAAACTTGCTACAAGTTTGCCGGATAAACTTGCTACAAAGTTGCTGCAAGCTGCCGGATAAATTAAAAAACTTGACAAGATGCGCAGTTGAATTCTATGGCATTTACGTCTGCGCAGTAAATTTCTTTGCCACCTGGATATGTTGCTGAGTGTATATTTTGAAATTTATACGAAAATATTCAGAAAAAATTAAAATTAATTCAATTACATTGTATATACTTGTGCAGCAAGCTTGCAATAAGCTTACTGCAAACTTACACTACAAACTTGTGGCAAGTTTGTCAAATAAGCTTGTCGAAAACTTGCCTCACAAGCTTGCAGCAAGCTTATATCGTAATCTTCTAGCAAGATTGCAGTGCAAGCTTGTAGCAATAGGACATTTTGTTACTTGCCACAAACTTGTCACGAGCTTGCTCTGTAAGCTTGCACACCTTACACAGCAAGCTTAATGCAAGTTTGTGGCAAGCTTTTGTGCTGATTGGGGATCGTGTTGAGCGTCAAAAAATACATTGGAAACCATTCGGATAACTCATAAAAAAAGTAAGTCTTTTTTTGTAGACCTGTGTTTTCTGTAAAGGATTTTTTCTCCTTCTTTATTTTCTTTAAGAGGTTAAGAACACCCTGACCGCATGAAAATAAGGCATTCTGGAGGAAATATTTTTGGAAAAAACTATTAGGCTTGTAACTTTTAAGTTTTTATTGAATTGAATTACATATCTTCAGCTTTAAAAATATATATATTATATTTAAAAAAAATTAAAAGTAGTAGAGATAGTGCGTCTCCTGTGAGGCACCTGTTGAGACTATAAAATAAGTATGTATGAGGTCGCGAAGTTAGAGCAAGCGCTACGTGTAAAATTCGCACCACTAACAAGAAGATGACGTCGATGGAGTTTCTCATTTAATAAAACAGAGGCTTTTCTATTTAGAAACAAGATTCTATGCCTTATCTAGAGAACTACTATAAATTGCAGTAACGCGCATGCTTTTCTGACACTATTTTTATATTTATATAATGATAAAATTTTTAGAAATAAGATCTACAAAATCTAGTATATTTCAAGATATTGGGATCTGAAATACGCCACCTGGTGTTAGCCTTGTTGTGGTAGCCATTTTTTTAGTCGTATTTCGTTTTTAACATATGCTATGGGAAAGAGATGAATCAAGATGGCTGATACAGCAAGGTTATTTCCACGCGATTTCTGATCGCAAGACAAGTAATTTATACATTTTTCTTATTGCAAGAGAATTGCCAGAATTTAATGATAATCTAAAGATGAATATTTCATCTTAAGATGTATTAAAAATATGTATAAAAGTTTGTTTTTTTTTTTTTTTTTTTTTTTGCTTAGGGACTTTTGAGAAATCTGCCTACAGATACCTTGGATTCCGCACTCCAAGGTTATGTGGGGTTGGTATGATAAAACAAAAGGAAATATAAAAAAAGAAAAATAAATATATATATTATAGTAAATTTAATAAACTGGCGACCTACTACCAGCCCGACCCACTAAAACCCGTAACCCTTCTTCTGGAGCCCTTTACCCTCCCTCGGAACTGTCGTATGACTTTAGCCATCGAGGGTGGCGCTCCAACTCTGTCGCTAATCCCTATTGAAAATCCCCATATGGGAAACCACATGGGAAACCACATGGGATCCTATGTCAAAAACCATGTAAAACCCTACTTCCATGAAGGAAACCACGTGGTTTACCATGTCAAACCATATGGGAAATTGAGACAGGATTTTAGTTAGGAATAGACATGGGGAATTTGAACAGTTCATCTATGCATAAAACCATATCAAATCCCACATGTTTTTCCCAGTCAAATCCTAAACCGAATCCCATGTGAAAAACAGTATCATTCATTTATAATTATTTTCCCAAGTCAATCCCCAAGTGAAAAACAGTATCATTTATTTATAATGATTTTCCCATGTCAAATCCTAAACCAAATCCCATGTGAAAAACATTATCCGCCTTATTGAATATCCCTGCATGGGAATCCACTTGGAATTTTACAGGGGATTTCACATAGGATTTTATATGGGAATTGACATAGGATTTCATGCAAGATTTCACCTAGGATTTAATATGAGATATCACATAGTATTTTATTAAAGATCCAATGAAGAAATTTTCAAAGGATTAAAAATTATTTAATAAAAAATTAAATAATAAATAGTATTAGTGTTACAAGTCATCAAAAAAGTAAAAAAACGATCATTTGAAACACGTCCTCTCTGCTACAGGTTCTCAGCTTTTATATACTTCCAGAGTCGTCTCAACAGCGAGAGAAGTCACTTTCGCCACCTAGCGGTGAAAGTATAGGAGCGACAGTAATCTTTAACATTACTAAGGAAACCATGTGGAATACCACATAGGATTTCATGTGGTTTCCTACGTGGGAATTAACATGGGATTATTTTACTTAGGAATTCATTTGGGAATTTATTTCTACTTAAATTCCTAAGTAAAATCCCATGTAAATCCCCACGTAGGAAACCACATGGAATCCTACGTGGTATTCCACATGGTTTCCTTAGTAATGTTAAAGATTACTGTCGCTCCTATACTTTCACCGCTAGGTGGCGAAAGTGATTTCTCTCGCTGTTGAGACGATTCTGGAAGTATATAAAAGCTGAGAACCTGTAGCAGAGAGGACGTGTTTCAAATGATCGTTTTTTTACTTTTTTGATGACTTGTAACACTAATACTATTTATTATTTAATTTTTTATTAAATAATTTTTAATCCTTTGAAAATTTCTTCATTGGATCTTTAATAAAATACTATGTGATATCTCATATTAAATCCTAGGTGAAATCTTGCATGAAATCCTATGTCAATTCCCATATAAAATCCTATGTGAAATCCCTTGTAAAATTCCAAGTGGATTCCCATGTAGGGATATTCAATAAGGCGGATAATGTTTTTCACATGGGATTTGGTTTAGGATTTGACATGGGAAAATAATAATAAATAAATGATACTGTTTTTCACTTGGGGATTGACTTGGGAAAATAATTATAAATGAATGATACTGTTTTTCACATGGGATTCGGTTTAGGATTTGACTGGGAAAAACATGTGGGATTTGATATGGTTTTATGCATAGATGAACTGTTCAAATTCCCCATGTCTATTCCTAACTAAAATCCTGTCTCAATTTCCCATATGGTTTGACATGGGAAACCACATGGTAAACCACGTGGTTTCCTTCATGGAAGTAGGGTTTTACATGGTTTTTGACATAGGATCCCATGTGGTTTCCCATATGGGGATTTTCAATAGGGATGCGACCTTCTTCTTCTCTCTTGCGGTTTTCCTGCGTCCATAGTTAAAAATTTAAAACTTTTTCAATATAAAATGTATAAAAGTTTACTTACAGCATAAACAATAAGAAGAACATGTCGCTTCTGCGCATTTTCGAAACAAAATTAATTTTTCAAAAACAAAATTATTGTTTTTAATTCTTCAGGTAGAAAATGTACTACTGAATACACTTTTAAGCGAAAGAAAGAGATATGATGCTTTGTTTTAAAACACGAAATATTTTTTTAGATTTTACTTTTAAGATATTTTTGTCATGAAATATAGACATTGAAAGAGGCACTATTAAAATTGACATTAAATTTTACTATTATATTATCATTCTATTGTTATAAACGAATCAGTTAAAAAATATGTTTTTACGATTTTAAAAGTATCTGTTTGCTTTATGATTTTGTTTTAAATTTACTTTTTTAGAATAATTATATATAAATTTACGGACTTTAAAACTATGTTAAAAATTTCAATGATTTTTTTCAAATATTTTTTATTTCTTAATTATTTTTTTTATTTCTGTCATACATTTCTGTAAATTTTTTTTTCTCGTTTGTCAAAAAACATGCTCGGACGTTTATAATGATATCTCACGAACCGAATAAGATTTTTGAATTCTTTTGGTCTTAAATTAAAGATGAGACTTGAATGATCACACCTATATAAGTTTCAAATTTTTTCTGAAATTTTTAAAAAATGTGCAGGGGTTGAAAAAATTTCCAAAAAAATTGTATTTTAAAAATTTTTTTGTCAAATTGGCAAATTGCTGCAATCTTTGTATAAATTATTAAAATTTTCAGTTATGTACCATTAATCGTAGAATTTAATAATCTTTCGAATGGTATATTTGTTAATTTTCTGACATTTGTATTTACAAAAAAATCGTGATTTAAAGATTGGTATGTTTTTGGGCAGTGCGTGTGCAGCCGTACCGATAATTCCCGACGGTAGTGTATGAATGTCATTCTATCTAGTTGTAACGTCGAGAAGAGAACATAATCTTATAGTTTAGTGTAAGCAAGATGGCAGTATTATTTTCCAATAAATAATGTTAAACAGAATTTATAGCGTGATTATTTGGTCTTTGGAAATCTGACCAATTTTAGTAATTACCATTCTAATTTCCCACACTGGTGATTCCTAGACGCGAGTTATATTTTTATTTTATAACATCGTCTGCAACATGCTTTACCGGCGTCATTAATTATCCACGTTTATCGGAATTTTTTTATTGTTTATTTTATGTTTATTTTTATTTATATATTAAAAGAAAAATTTACTGCATATATTTTTCTAAAAAGTTTGTGTTTATAATTTTTTTTACACAACTTATGGATCTTTTTCCATGCAACCACGTTTTATGCACATGGATACGCCATTTTTATTTCACTTACGCTCTACTACTCGACTGATTTTTAACACATTTTTCATCGACTTTGATGGATGTGACCGTTTTCTGTCACTGGAATGTCTCACTTAACATTTCTCCATTTGATTTTGGACCTGGTGATGCCATTGCAGTCAACCTGATTCCAGAGACGAGAAGCTGTGTTTGTTAAAAACGCTTTTTTCGTTTGTATGGGCTCATCTACTTTGCCCATGCAACAGGTATGTTATCTGTTTTAATGCCTAATTTTTATTTATTTCCTTACGTTTCAAGTTGAAACATTTTTCCGCGCCTGGCAATTTTTTCTCTATGTGTGTGGAGAAATTTCCTGGTGCCAACGTATTCACCCAGCCAAGGAATTCTGGAGAGATATACTGTTCAGTCTTATTTTAGCATTAAAATTAAAATCACATAAGCAGAGTACACATTATAAATTGAAAGCACAATTGTCCTGGAATGTAAAAATGCCGATTTCGATAATATTCAGTGAATGTTTGTTAAAAATTGGTAAAAGCAAAGTTTGACAAGCGCGACTGAAACTGAATTTACCATATGTGAATAAATGAAGTGGTAAGTTTAAATGGACTAAAAGAAATCTACTGTTACCGACAGAAAGTTCCTAGAGAATTGTGGTAAATTCAAATGGAAAAAACGAAACAATGAAATTTTATTGTTTTGTTGAATTTACCACAATTCTCTAGGAACTTTCTGTCGGTAACAGTAAATTTCTTTTAGTCCATTTAAACTTACCACTTCATTTATTCACATGGTAAATTTAGTCGCGCTTGTCAAACTTTGTTTTTACCAATTTTTAACAAACATTCACTGTTTCTTATCGAAATCGGCATTTTTACATTCCAGGACAATTGTGCTTTCAATTTATAATGTGTACTCTGCTCATGTGATTTTAATTTTAATGCTAAAATAAGACCGTATTCGGCGGATGAAAAAAAGATTGAGTCAAACGTCCCAGGACGGTTTTTACTCGAATCCGTATTGGCTCAGAGCTTCACTTAATTCCTAAACGCTCCACTCAATACTTTTTTTCACTGGGTATAGTAATATACCTACAAAAGGTCGACCTCTTCCATTTTTATTACTATTTATTTATCTTTGTTTACATGAATGGTTGTCAATAATTGTTTGGTCCAACACGGAAAAAAATTTCTTGTGTTTATCAAGTTTTGCTGTCATACTATAAATAATAATTGTATCCCATGAATCGACTGCCTAAAACCTTTAAGGCACGAGTATGTGTGTTTATATTATCTAGCATGTGTCGAATACTTGAAGCATTATGCCGAGCGCAAATAGATTGTTCGAAAAATAGTTTTAAGTGATTTTGTATGATAACTCGTCTGTGATCGTATCGCTCTGTTAATAATGCCCATGCAACATCATAATTTCTTTATGTTTATATTATTATTATTATTTATATATTGTAATTAATAACACAAGCCTGCCAACAATCGAGAAGTCATTTCCAGAAGTATTTGGTGCGCTGAATCCGAATCTGGCAACGAAAACCACCCATCACGTCAGGATTTTGAGAAAAGTGGGGGTAAATTCCCAAAAATCTTGTTTTTTTGCCGTTTTTGAAAATTTCTACCGGGTAAATCCGACGTGCTAAAGGCTTGTCATAGGAGTCAAATTAAAGCTTGAACCATCTACTTCACGAAGATATAGTGATATTGCTAACAACAAACTAAATTAACCATCAAAAATGATTTTTTAAATAGTTGTCAAGTATAAAAATTGACTGAGACTGTCCGTAATTAAAACTATTTTGAAAATTGATTGGATTCCCTCAAAATTTGTTACTCAGGGGTTTCCGGGGTCGCTTATTACGAATATGTTGTCAGACTTTCAAAATTCAAAATGTCGGATCCAGTATGTCTGACTACTTGTTCAAAAACGATTCATATTGCCTGAAACTTGTTACTCGAGGGTTATCGGAGTCGTTGATTATGAATCTAACCAAAGATTTTTTAATTTGACATCATATTTGTAATCAGCGACTCCCAAAACCCCAGAGTAAAAAATTCTAAGCGAATTGAAACATTTTTTTTAATAGTTGTATTTACGGACAGTGTGAATTAATTTTTATGCTTGCTAACTGTTAAAAAAATCATTTTTGACGGCTAATTTAGTTTGTTGTTGGCAATATCGCTTTATCTTCTTAAAGTACAGGGTTCAGGCTTTAATTTGACTCCTTTGACAAGTCTCTAACACATCGGATTTACCCGGTATAAATTTTCAAAAACTGCGAAAAACATGATTTTTGGGAATTCACTCCCACTTTTCTAAAAATCCTGAAGTTATGGGAGCTTTTCGTTGCCAGATTCGGATTCAGCGCACCAAAATAATACTGCGGGAAATGATTTCTCGATCTCAGACAACGGAATAAATTTTTACTTTTTTGCAGGCTTGTGTAATGTTATCAAATATATAGATTTAAACCTATTATTTACAATCAATTTATTATAAATAATGGCAAAAGATACAGTCTCGAAACTCAAAAGGTATTTCAAGCTATATCTTCCGAGGTCAAAATCTGAGAAGAGATACTAGCATGCGTTCCCCTTGCGAAATCTCCCTGCTATCTTGAAGAGATACATAGACCTCCAAGTCCTCTGCCAGACATGACTGTCATTGACGATGGCATTGGTGTGCTGCGGTTGGATACTTATCCGCTTCCAGACACGACTGATATCATGGATATATTCGGTGGACCTTGCATAGTGGTGGCGAAACTTTCCACTAGTGGGCAACCAAAACAGTACGAATCATGAAAATGAGCTGTAAAAAATGACTACCTGCAGGATAATGCTTCGGCCAAATCCCTCTCCGGTTCCGACGGTCAATCGCATGGCGTGGGGGCGATGGCCGGTGGTCCGTAGATGCAGGAGGGCAAAAACGCTTTACATATTTCACAGATCACCCTAGAAAGAATCCAAGTAGAAAAAAGTTGTTGACCGAGAAGAATACACACCAGCGTGAAAAGTGGTGGACTAGGACCCAGAAGAGGTAACGATTCAAGTGTGGGCAGATGCATTACCATTTCAGCAACGCTTCTGCTGATGCTATCGCTATTGACCATCAGGATAGGGACACTTGTATTAAGCTGCGAGTGGTGGAGGCGGCTTGCATTGAAAAGATCGCGGGAAAGGTACGCAAGATGCTGGAGTCCTGTAAGGTACAGACGAACGTCAATATGACAATTAAAAAAAGTCTGAAGAACCTGATAGAAATTGTACAGGAGCTTAGGAAGAAGCATGAAGCCGCGAAGGAACAGGATGCGCGCTTCTACCACGGTATGTCCATTTCGAAATAGATGCGTGAGGATCGGAAGAGAAGACAACAGCGATTCTAAGTAAAAGTCATTAGAAATGTCGTGCTGGAGTGCTCCAGGAAAAAGAAGACAAGTCAATGTAGTCCAGAGGTGACAAAGGAGGTAAAGAACAGGTAGGAAGCGCCTATTAAGACACTGAAGCCAAAACCATGGTCATGGTGAGGTCGGCGGCTGGAGAATCAACAATGATCTTCAGGGTCGCGGATGGAAGGTCATTAACCGAAGGGTTACTCTGGGGTTTTACTGCCTGGATTGCCTTACCCAAGAGGACGAGGTACAGGAGGCACTATCAGGTCTCATGAAGGAACCGGCAGGAAGCAGAAAGGTGACGGTTGTTGGCAGTTGTCACCGACCAGGATCAGGCTGAGAAGCTGGAGGTGCTCGGACGCATAAAGGTTGGTTTTATGTTATGTCCGATCAGAAGGAGGTTTATGATAGTGAGGTGTTACCAATACCTCGGCTATGGTCACCTAGCAAGA